AGGTACATTTACCCATTTCCAGTTCCACCTTTACTGTATCAAGTTGAACTTTCTGTGGGAGGACAGCAGTTTAATGGAAAAGGAAGGACAAGACAGGCTGCGAAACACGATGCTGCTGCTAAAGCACTGAGGATCCTGCAGAACGAGCCCCTTCCGGAGCGGCTGGAGGTAAGGAGAATGCAACGTTGGAGGACCTTGGGGCAGAGCAGGAGAGTGGTAGAAAACACATCATCGAAGTTTCCATATTGACAGCAAATGCTGCTGTAACCGAAGTGCCACAGGTGGATGGCTTCAGCAAACAAACTTAGTTTTTCACAGTTAGTTCAGGAATTCAGCTCCTAAAAGGAAGGCTCAGAGCTCTTTCTGGTGGCTCTCTCTCTCTCAGGGAAGGTCCCTGTTTCTTCTCAGCTTCTCGACGATGCCTCAGTTCCTTGGTGTGATCTCCATGGCATGTAGGGTCTGCCTTCTTCAGTTCTGCTTCCTATGTCCTCATTTACTCTTAAACACCCTGAAACCTGTAAGAGCTGGAACTTGGCAGGAGAGCTTTGTTTTTTGGGTCTTTCAAAATTTCCTCCATTTTCAGTGTGCAGTCTTCTATCACTTGTTTTAGAGGAAGATATTTGAGTGTTCCTCCTCTGCCAGGTGTTCACCTTACACAGGTTCCAGTTTTTGAAGCTTTTGCTGTATCTCAAAGCAGAGTGGCTGAAAAAACACACACCCTACTATGATATGATGTCTTAATAAAGAAAATGAATTCCCAAATGGGATATAACCACAGGTATTACAAAACCAGGAGTCTTGGTGTAGTGCTGTGGGTTCATGTGCCAGACTGGAAAGCTGTTTGAACTGCCAGGTCGGCAGTTTAAGCTCACCAGCTACTCCTCGGAATCCGTTTACAGGGTTGTGATGGGTCAGAATCGACTTGACAACACTTAACATTACAAAACCAAAATCAAAATCAAACTTCTTGTCATCAAGTCAATTCCACCTCACAGTGACTTTAGAGTAGAGCTGAACCGTACCTTCTTACTCTGTAGAAGCAACTGGAGCTTTGCTTCGACCTCTTTGGCTGTTGTGAGCAGTGCTGCAGTCAACAGTAATGTGTGGTGTATGAGTATCGGTTTCTATATCTGGCTGTTTCAGGAATGGAATCACAACTATTTCTTTACATAGTTGTTGCAGTTGTTCATTAAGTTCCATAGAGTTGGGTCCACCTTGTAGCGAACCCTGTATAGGGTTTTTGAGGAGCCACCCTGGTAGGTGTGAACTGTCGACCTTGCAGTTATCATTCCAATGTTTATCCTACAGCACCACATCGGGACCCCTCACAAAACATGCTGTTACATGCTGTCGAGTCAGTTCTGACCCATAGCAGCAATAATCTGCCATTACTGTGCGCTAGGATCTTTAGTTTAGGCAGAGCTTAGTGGAGTAGCTTGTCTCCTCTGCTGCACATCATTTGACAAAGGCAGCTTAGTAGGAGCCTAAGGGTTCCCTTTCACAGGGGCTCACTCCCATGGTTGGCATGTTGTTGGTGTGCTGTCGAGTCAGTCCTGACTCACAGCAACCCTGTGTAAGGTTTCCAAGGCTTGTGAATCTCTATGGGAAAGCCTCATCTTTCTCCTGCGGAGGAGCGACTGCTAGATTTGAGCTGCTGACCTTACAGTTAGTTACCAGCTCAGTTATTCATTCACTACACTACCAAGGCTCTTTGGCATGTTGGTACTGGCTGTCAGTTAGGAACTAGACTGGAGTTCAGGCCTGAGAACCCCAGTTCCTCTCTTAGTAGACTTACGCCAAGGCTGCTTAAACCTCTTCTTGGTATGGTGGGTAGACAGGAAATGGAGTGAGACAGGAAATGGAAGTAGCTGCTTAGTTTCCTAAGGTTAGGGCCCAGATTCAAGGATAGGAGATTTAGAATCCCTCTTCTTTTTAATACTCACTTAACATCTGTAAGCCACTGCCATTGAATCAATTCTGACTCAATTGTGACCTTGCATAGGGTTTCTGAGACTATATATTTCTGAGAGTAGACAGCCTCATCTTTCTCCTGCCAACCAGTTAATGGGTTTGAACTGCTGACCTTGTGGTCAACTGCCTAACACTTATCCCACAGCGCCACAAGGCTTCCTTATCACTGTTTAATGAGTTTTAGGTCATTCAAAATGTTAAGGACCCTACTTTTTAAAAAAACAAAACAAAAACTTTTTATTGTGAATTGAGTGAAGGTTTACAGAGCAGATCATCAGCTTTACAGTCAACAAATCATGTACTTTGTTTCATCTCAGTTGCACTTCCCTCCGTATAACTACCACTTATCCCACTCTTTCCCTGTGTTTTCCATTCCTCTTCCTTCCCTGCTCTTCTGAATTTTGGTCTTGGGGAAATGCTGCCCTTTTGATGTTGATGATTGACAGTGCTGTCATGTGTCTACTTCACTACTTTGGTTGTCCTCCCAATATACCTTATTTATTGGTTGAAAATTGAGCCACAGAAGAGAGAACTTCTTGATGAATGGAATGTCATAGTTAGGGGGCTATATTGTAAAGCCGTCATGAGGGAGAAAGAATTTTCTCCTGGTTACTATTAAATAGGAGAGTGACTCTTAGGAATAAGTGTCTCCAATGTCAGTGAAGTGATAAGGTGGAGTGTGACCACAAATCAAGTTGTCAGAAATTCTTGAGAAATTCGCTGAGTGGAGAACATTGAAATATAGTATGGTCCTGTTTACTCATGACAAGAAAGGCCACCTGGGTACCATTTGGCTTTTCTTTCCCAAGGAGAAAAGCTCACAAAGAGCAGGGAGATCTTGCACTAAGTAGTGCAGCTAACGCAGCTGCGTGGATAGCTGGCAGTGTTCTTGGTGATGTGTGCACCATGCCTGACCACCCCCAGCAGTGTGTCAGGAGATTGTGGGTTTCTTTTTAGTTGTAGTGAGTGTCGATTTCTTTAGTGCAGTCAAACATCTTAATAGATTTAATCTGTTCCTGTGTTGTCCACTAAGGACTAAATAAAACAGAATGAATGGGCTAGCACTCAAAAGGAGGAAACTGTAGTGAAGATAATGGATGAGGTGCTCTGTGGTGAGATTTGTTACACTAGGAAAAGGCAGTAGAAGTGGATTATTTTGGAGTCAGATGGAGCAGGTGTTTCTCAGCCCTTCCTAGCCAGCAGTTGCTAAACGAAGGCTGAGCACCAGAATGTTGGGTTGGCTACATCAAAATGACTTCCAGAGTTTTAAAATAAGATTCTACACAATTTTGATGCAGTAGGTCTAGAGTGAGAGTCAGGAACCTAGCATTTGCTTTTTCTCTTTTAGGATTAATTTGTGCTTCTAAAGTACGGTTGGGGTTTAGTAACTGCATATCCTAAGTATTACAGATGCTTCCCAGGCAGTTTTTCCCTCTCTGAATCCTCCATGGAAGTAATTACAATATTGCCAAAAGGGAGAAGTGCCTTTGTAGTCTCTAATTCTAACGCCTGTCTCTCTCTGGAGCAGCAGGGGTTGGTACATCCTCCTGAGAGCAGTGGCTTCAGTAGGCTTGTGCGCCTCTGCGGGCTTTTCTGAGGCTTGTCTGAACTCTTAAGGAGCCTCGACGCGTGGACGGTTGAAACCACCACATGCCACTGGACCTCTCTCAAAATTCTTTGCTCCTTTTTTTTTTTTTAGCTTCATATAGCTTGACTGTGGAACAGACAGTTGCTCATATGTAAGTTTAAGATGAAGCTGACGAAAAGTAAAAGTCCACAAAAGCCGAAATATGACCTTTAACATATCCCACCTATATTTAGACAGCATCTCAAGAACAGATTTGATGTATTAGGCACTAATGGCCGATGTGGTCCCCCTACCGAAGAGTAGTGGGATGACATCAAAAACATCATATAGGAAATAAGCCAAAGGTCATTAAGAAGACAAGAAAGGGAGGCGGGGCTTGATGGTGCCTAGGATAGAGGTGCAGTGAGGTTCTCCATCAGCAATACCACAGAATACCAGGCAAAGCAGATTCAGGGCAAAGCTCCAAGGCTTGGAACCATATAGGTAAGAATATTTTAAAGTTTGAAGGCTTTTAGCTAGTGGAACTTGAAGTGGAAGTAAGAAATTGCGTACTTTTGAATCTGCTGGGCTCCGAGGCCCAGAGCCGACAACTTGGGAGAGACCAAATGACAAGACCAAGCAGGGGAGCGGACACATCACAGAAAAGCGCTGCAGGAACCTCTGAGCAAAGGTGGACAATTCACTTCGTAGGTTTTGCGTTCTGATTTTCTTTTTTTTGGTATTTGTTCATTGGTCTCCCACTGTTTGTGCACCTCCATTCTGGTGACTAGAGAGGGGTGCCTGAGCGAGTGGACATCCCCCACCCTCACCACTGGTGGGTTCACCTGCCACGTATGCGCTCAGATACTCAGCCCAAGAGCTGGCCCTGAACTTTTTTTTTTTTTTTTAATTTCGAAAAAGCCAGAACAAGGGGTTTGGAGAGGGAAAAAGAGTTTAAAAACAAAAACAAAACAGGCCAACAATTAAATTAAATCCTGAGGTATAGCATAACAACCAACGAAATCTATCAGACAGCTTTGAAGGCAAGAAGCTGAAAGAGGACATTAAAGTCATATTCATATTAGGCTACAGATTTTTTTTTATTCCTTCTCTCCCTCCTCTTCCTCCTTTCCCTTTTCTGCAATTATAGACTACAGTATCCAGTTTAGTTTTTGTTGTT